ACAAAATCTCTGCCTTGTCTCCACCCAAACTTTCTCCCTTGGTGTTGATAGCCCTTCGATGGTTCTGCTGCACCTTTCCTTCCATATAGACCAGAGTGTTACTTTTCTGATCATCCCAAACCATATCCTTTCGGACTTGTGGAGCTGAGCTTGAATGTTAGTCCAAAGGAGGAGTTGGATGGGGTGTTCGGGGAGGGGAGTCGGGAAAAGGGAAGCCCAGAGGTCTGACGCTCTGGCCCAATACTCCGTCGCTTCTCTGCACCTTATTAGACAGTGTATCATATCTTCAGGTTCATTTTCCGAGCATACTATTAGGGTCATTGTGTCTTCTTCTTATATGCAGCCATTGGTTGACCGGTAACGCTACGTATGAGATAAGCCATTGGACGCTTCTAATTTTGACCGGTCGGATTGATTTGAATTTCTTCCACAGTATCTGCGATATCTGGGTGGCTTCCGGACCAGTCAACTTCGTCCATCTTTTTTGATTGTGGGATCCGGGTCCTTGGTTTTACTTAGGAGATTGTAACCCAGTTTAACTGTGTAATCCAGGATGAGTATATTCGTTCTTAGTTTTTTGCTTCTTCCTGGTGTCCAGGCCCACTCCGCTGGGTAGAATTCCAAGTCCTGAATTGCCATATCATTCTGAAGATCAATTTTGGCCATTGCCCCAGTACTCTCACTTTCCTAAGTACAAAGTTGTTTAGAACTGTTCTTTCTACACCCATCATTCAAGATAGACGAAAGCCCTTGAGTCGAATGAATGATTGGAAAAGAGATGAATGCAGCCAGAGTGTCCGAACCCTGCTGCTTATGGGAGAATTGGTAGGCCCTTGAAGGAGATGATCCTGTATCGGTCCAAACTACTTAAAATCCGTCAGTTTTTGTTTTCTATATTATATTATATTATACACACTCTTGAATACATGACGCAACACACATAATTAGAAATCTCAGCAGAAAGCAGGAATCTCAGCAAAGCACACATTCCAGCAGCAAAACTCAGAAATCAGCAGGGTTCTCAGTCTGTCATTTTGCAGGTCATTACACTACCCCCCCCCCCCTCAAAACCAAGGTCCCTTTGAGCGAGTAACTCAATCTGAGTCCCTGCAAAATGCATCATAAGAATACGGCAAAGAGAGCTGCTGTATACTCATAGGCAGTTACTATCGCAGAAAATGTGGGCTTCTGTCCAAGAACTATGTGACGTTCACACACTTTGACGACACAAGGTGCGTTCTGCAGTGAGTCTTTCCTAGAGAGCCAGTAACACTCTTATAACGGGTGATACAGGAAGTAAACTTGATACTGTCTGTTTCTCCCTTTTCCAGTGTGTGCAACAATTATGTCAATCTCACGAGTCATGACCACTGTCACGAGGAATCATAGGCTCACGATAGGGAAAGGATTCAGGAGCGACATACGGATACAGTTTAAACGAGTGAAAGACCGGGTACGTGCGCAGATGGCGTGGCATGTCAGTCACATACGAAGGACCAAATGCATCATCCCCTACCACCTTTAGAACCTTCCAAGGACCCTATTACAGGGGAAAAATATTACATGACACTCCCTCGTCTTTTGAGAACCCAGACATCTTAACCCAGACATAACTTCCCACCTGGAATGGAGCAGGTAAGCGCTTCTTGTTAGCAAATTTAATCATGGCATGGTGTCGCTTGTTCATTGCTGCAATATAAACTTTGAGCAAGCGATCGTACTCTGCATTGTAGCCAGGCATGGTGGGCGTCAGACGAGGCGATTGATCAGGGAACAAAAAGAAATGAGAGTTGCGAATCTGCCAACCGTAGTGCAACCTATTCGGTGTCATCCCGATGGTGGGTTAAATAGAGTTGTTGTACAACCCCTTTGCCGCAAGCAACTATTCATCCCACGGGTTCTGATCAGGAACAAGAAGACAACGGAGAAGTTGTGTCACAGTCTGGCCTATCTCCTCAGCCAATCTGTTGGCTTCGAGATGTCGACCAGATGTCGTCTTCAACTTGATGTCGTAAATATGAGAAGTAAAGTCCTTCCAATTTGCACTTATGAACCGGGTGTCGGGATCACTTACAAGAGTTTTCGGGAGGGGCATATTGAAGCATGTACTCTTGATGGAACTCATGAATCCCAAGGTCAGTTGGGGCATGAGTAGGCAAAGGAATCAGATCCGAAATTTGGAAAAACGGTCGACAATCACCGTGATCTGTGAATACCCTCGCTCACTTTCCTTTCCCATGTTCGTGAAGTCGGAAGAAACTAGGACCTTCAGGAATGGGGAGAGGCTTTTGCCTTGGAGCCTTGATCTGTTGACAGACTCGGTACTGAACCACAAATTTCTGAACAGATCCTTTCATTCCAGGCCAATCAAATTGCCATAAAAGACTTCTCTGTCTTCTCAAAATTGAAGTGTCCACTCCGACCATAAACCAAATCCAAGAAGTGAGCTCGGAGCGGCTCATGGTTGGGTACACACAAGCAGTCAAACTTTCCGTAGCGTCGGAATAAAAGACCCTCAACCTCATGATCATCTAGGCTAACCATTGGGGTCAAGCTTGAGCTGCTCACGGATGGGACTGAGGTCCAAATCCTTGGCAGTGTGCTTGATCAACTCCTCCGTCAATGTCTTTTGGAGGTCATAGAAGCTCACAAGGCAAGTCAAATACTTGGGATGACGAGACAATCCATCATCGACTCGATTCTAACAACCTTTCTTATGTTTGAATTCAAAATCATAGACATCAATTTCATGCAACCAGCGGGACATAACTGTGGATAATTAATTTGCGACGTAATCCATTGCAAAGTCTCATGATCTAAGAAGACTTTGAAGCGGCGTCCTAAAAGATAGTGCTTTCAGCGGTCCAATGCCTTGCGCAAGGCATAAAGCTCGGGCATATATGTGGAAGTAGCTACTTTCTCGTTGGGTACGCATTTGTATTAGTACCTCAGTGGACACAAACCATCACCATCATCTTGTTGCAGCATTGTGCCCATCCCATATTGACTCGCATTCGTAGTAACTACTAATGTGAGTTTGGGATTTGCAATGTAGAGCACAAGATGACTTACCAAAGCCTTTTTCAAGGCTTGAAAAGCGATCTCATATGAATCACTCCATGTGTAGTTACATTCTTGCTTGTTAGTCTAGACAATGGGCGAGCAATGACANAGGCTTGAAAAGCGATCTCATATGAATCACTCCATGTGTAGTTACATTCTTGCTTGTTAGTCTAGACAATGGGCGAGCAATGACAAAAAACATGGGAGCAACTTTCAATGATACGACGCAAGACCAAGAAAAAATGCAATTTGCGAATATTCACCAGTTGAGGCCAATTACGGATGACCTCAACCTTGGTTGCCTCAGGCTCAAGGCCGGCAGTAGACAACCGATGCCCAAGATAGATAACAATGTCACTCCCAAACTCAGATTTGTCTAAGTTGAGATGCAACTACGCTTTTTTTAGCATCTCTAACACTTGCTCAAGGTGTTGCAGGTGCTCACCCGTGGACTTGCTGAAAATCGGAATGTTGTCGAGATAGACAACGACAAACCTATTGATTTGGCTTCTAAACACTTTTTCCATTAGGCTAAGGAAAGCGGCTGGTGCGTTCCTGAGACCGAAGGGCATAACAACGAACTCATATAGTCCATCGCGTGTCTTCAATGCAGCTTTGTGCTGGTCTGTGAATCGAATTCAATCTTTTTTTTTTTTTTTTCGGTTTAGTAATTTGCATAGAGTACCCATAGCCCCATTGTTTGCTGTACCACTACTCTAGGTGAACATGTTGTTTAGTTGATTCAACTGGGCCACAGGTTGAAGAGGAATTACGGTAAGCAATGCCAAGGTGGGACATAAAGCAGGGAGCAGGAGCTAGACTAGTGCTTAACTCTCCACTTTGATTTGAGGATCAAATGCTGCTGGTCACAGTCCACTATTGCCAAGGGGGGAAGCGTTTCGTGTTTTGAAAGTTTTCTATTTCTATTTCCAGAAGGGGCACTGTACCTGGTTTCCAGCATTTAATGTTTTTTTTTTTTTTTTCGTAGTATGATATAATATGATATAGCGGATGCTCTGACTTCCCTCATTTAATGGTTTTTGTAGCATGATGTATGGGATGCTGGATCCGGTTTCGAACAGGTCAACTCGCTGCCAAAAAACAGAAAAAAGCTATCAAATAGAACAGCGTCCAGTGTGACAAGAGCCTAAAAATGGGTTTGCAAGACCAGAGGGAGGTGAGGGTAGAGTTACTGGAATTTAACGGACCAGTACATCCGTGCCTCTTTCATACGAGGCAAATACCCATTCGTGCACCAAGCTTTGCTGAACGCCAGCGCGCCGTTTTGTCTCTAGTTTCCGATGGCGTCGCCAACCATTGTGGCCTGGGTGCCTCGAGCCTCCGATTTTTTCGGAGAGGCTTGATCGTGTTTCTGAAGTTGACTGGGGCCATGTACTGGTGGCTGCAGCTAAGTCAGCCCCTTACCGGTGGTGTACGTAGTCAGAGGATGCCAATTCGGCCTACCAGATCAGAGAGGGGTATCAGGGGAGTGTGCAAATTCCAAGTACCCCAAAGTTGATAACTTTTAATTATAATTTCCAGTGGCGAAAAGTTCTGGAAAAAATCGGTATGTTCCTTTGGTGACTCCGCATCAGTGAAAAAATTTGAAAATATTTAAATAAACAAAAATGGTTTGGGCCATGATTTTTTTTTTTTGTGCCAAAGCCAATTCATATTTCAATCCAAGTTGGTGTGACTTGGTAGGAGTGTCGTTTCAGGCTGGGAAGGTCCTGGGGGTTGCTTCATGAACCTAGGCAAGTTTAAACTGGTGATTTAAAACTTAAAAGCATTTGGAAGCTCTGACAACTACCGTCTTCCCCCGAACATAGCGCACCCTCATCATGGTGGTGTCAGACCGGAAAGATAGCTTGACTGTTTGGGGGAAGACGGTAGGCCGCATTGGCAAAGTGGGGCAGTTACAGGTGAGACCAACTGACCTCAGATGGAAAGGAGATAGTGCTATCCTCGGTGTCCACAGGAAGAGTTCGGACGGTTAGGCAACCTCTTATTATTGGGAGTTTGAGGACCTGCTCTTGTTTCTCCCACCCCTTCTTGCATTGGCTGACGTCCACTTGGAAGTGCACTAGTGCCGTCGATCTGAGCGTCCATCAGTTAGCCATCCCTGTTAGCAGACAATCATTAAATAGTCCAGCAAAGTATAGTACAGCCAGTCCTTCTGCTTGAACCACCTTCCACCTCTCCATCATTTCCCACCAAGAGCAACAGCACACCCACTGGCCAGCTGCCCGTTTCCCTCCCCATGATCCACTCCATTCATCCAAACTTCTAGAGGAGCCACAGAGACACTCTTGTTTGCCAAACCATGCCAGTAGAGAAACTCAGATAAGAACTTATATACTCCTCCCAAATGACTGTAAATTTGAAATTTTACAATTACACTACACCTATTACCATACCACATATATATATAGTCACATATCTATCAACTAAAAGAGCGCAGTTTGCGAAACAAATAAAGAACATAGTGACAGCATGAAGCACACTGAAACCGTCTGTTCGCATTTCCCTGTGCAGGGCTTTCTTTTCTTTCTTTTGGCCCTTTTTAACTTTTTCACAGTTCCTTTTTACTTTGTCTCTTATCTCCCCCTTTACTGCGCCACTCGCGCACAAAGCTTGCGTTATATATAGTTTAAATTTATCTCGGGAACGGAGAAAGCACAGGGACTCATGCAATCAACCAAAAAGGATGATAACAACAACTTCAGTCAGCCAAAGATGGTGGATGTGAGTTTATTCCACTTTACTCCTACACCAAAAAGCGCACCAAAACTAACTCGGAAAGCAAACTGTGGGAAACAATCGAAAACATGGAAAATATGAGTGGATTTTTTTTATCAGCCAAACTGGCCCACTTAAATATTGAATACCATACAGTTAAGGCATTTTTGAAGGGTAAAAATTAAGAGAAAATGAAAGACTTTTAAAGTTCAAACTATTTTGTGAGTAAGCTGCAGCGTTCCTCTCGCAATCAAACACTTCTTCAGCCGGCTTCGCTTTATCAAAGGCTATTCGAAGATCGCGGGCCATTTGACCAAACTTCAACGCGAGGATCGGCCGTTCGACTTCGGTGACGATGCGCGGGCTTCCTTTTTGGCCCTCAAACCTGCCTTGTTATCCGTGGAGGTTTTATGCATCTATGACCCGCTTTTGCTGATGCGCGTCACTACCGATGCGACCGGCTATGGCATTGGTGTCGTCTTCGAGCAACACGATGGCGTGGACTGGCGCACCCGGTCAAGTACTTTAGTAAGAAAGTGCCCGCCGTGCATTCGATTGACGACGCACGGAAGGAGGAGTCATTAGCCTTCGTACACGCGCTTAAGCGGTGGCGGCAGCGGCATTTTCTTCTCAGTCAAAGTCAATTCCGATGGGTAACGGATAACAATCCGTAGGTCTTCTACAAGACCCAAGACACGGTCAATAGCACCATCGCCCGTTGGATGGCTTCCATCCACCAGTTTGACTTCTTACCCAATCACATCCTAGGAAAGCCAAAGCGTTTTGCGGAGGCTCGTTCACGACACTCGGACCTTTGTACTGTGGTCTACTCGGCGTTCAAGATTGACAACGACTTGCATGACAGCTTCATCTGCAGCTATCAAGCACCCCGAGTTTCGTGACAAGTACGCAAACTGCTCCTCTCCAAATGCAGTGACATCACACTATCAGATCCAAGAGGGTTATTCGCTTGTCCACTCGCGGGGGAAGGATCTTCTTTGTGTGCCAAGTGATCCACACTTGCATACGCGGCTTCTTGGCGAGTTCCACAACGCTCCCGCCACCGGACACTTTGGAGTCAATCGTACGATTGGCCGACTTCGCGAGCGCTTTTGGTGGCCCGGCCTTCTCGGCGACGTCACACGCTATTGCAAGTCATGCGCGGTTTGTCGGCATTGCGAATCCCGCAACCATTGTCCCGACCAAAAGGATTGGGTTGAGCGGTTGCCGGACATCGAGTTGGCTTACAACTCTTCCATTCATCCGGCTATCGGGATATCGCGCTTTGAGTTCGAGCATCGCTCGCCGGTCACATCACCGTTGGACACTATCATCCGCGGGCGATCGAGAGCGATGACCACCTTATTTTCATTCGACGGATGCAACAGCTCCTTGTTAAGGCACGCGACCAGATGTCGAAGACGCAGAACGCATGAGCGGTCAGGCCAATCACCATCGTCTTCCTTGTCCGTTCCGCATTGGCAACCTTGTCTGGGTTTCCACCACGAAATTCAGCCTCGAACGAGATATCTCTCGCAAGCTCCTTCCGAAATGGATAGGGCCTTGGAGCATTGTAGCACCCGCTGGTGACGCACCCGAAGGACCTTCATTTGTCATTCAGGTGCCCGCCCACTTGCCCGTCTACCCGGTCTTTCGTTGTTCAAAGTTGGCTCTTTTTGTTTTGGCGGAATGCGACGACTTTCTCGGGCGACGATCGCAAGACCCACCCTCCATGGACGGTTTTCAGGAGGTTAGTGACATCATTTCGCAGCGGCGCTACGGCACCAAGCCGACGGAGTACATGGTACATTTCTCTTATTGTAGCCATAAGGTTGACCGTTGGTTGACCCGTGCGGAACTTCAAGCTACAGCCCCCGACGTTCTCGCACGTTACGAACGCAAACAGCAAGGCAAGTCGGCACCTTCGGCTCCACGCAGTACTTGCGTCCAGGTTCCACCATCAGATCGTTAGCTTTGCCCTCGACCTGGCTTGACTTCATAAGGACGGGGGGGGGTTACATGCTGAGCCACGGGCCCAATTTTGTGGGCCCGACGGTTGCTAGGGCCCCCCAGGCCGTAGGACTCGATTCGAGACAGCATTTATTATTTATTTATTTATTTATTTGTTGTCCTATTTTTGTCTATTCAAGCGTCGTTTCGGACTCCGCGCCTTGGGCGAGGTTTGCCAGTAGTCAGGCAGCTCTGGCCCAGGTGCAGGGTCTGGACGTCCGGTTGGGTCCCAGACCCAGTAGGCCCACGTTTTGGGCATAGGACCAGAGGCACACAAAGGCAGACCGGCTGGCCCAGCGCTACATATAGCTGGGCCACACACAGTTCGAGTAGCTCACTTCTTGGGCGACTCGCTGCTGGAGCAGCGTGACACAGCGCTGCGCTGTAGAGGTAGAGGTGTAGGTAGGAGGTGAGGCGCCATACCTGCAGCAGCGGTACTTACCTGGGCGCCATATCCGCGCTACACGCTGGCGACCTGCATAGGGACCACGACGACAGTTAGTACATGACAGCAGTTGATGCTTTGCTGGCGCTGCATTGTCCATTCAAGTCCTTTTCATCACCTTGCGGATCCTTGGGTCCATATACATTGCTCAACTGAGCATGTATCAGTCACCCTCCTCACGCCTTGGATTTGGGGGCTACCTACGAGGACCCGTGAATCCCACATTATCTTGGTTGGTAAGGGCAAAATTGCCCCCTTATCCATCTTGGTAGATGAGGGAACCATGAACACCTTGCGGGGTACCAGAGCCCCTTCCACCCGCTTGGAAGCCCCGATTGCCTCCAAACCCTTGTGTGGTCTGTCCCCGGCCACCTCGGCCACGGCCTCCTCTACCGCGACCTCCTCCATGCCCTCCCGCACGGGCTACCACGGTCGCATAGTCCCCTCCTTGGGCCTCCCTCTCACTCAAATTCAAGCTCCCTGAGGCCTACTTGCTCGTAGGGGATCTCCTATGCTCCCCCTTCTTCAAACATGACAGGGAGCCTATTTGCCGCCCATATATTGCTAGACATTGTTTTGCCCTTCCACTTCTTCCCCTTCTCCATATCTTGATAGTATTGGAAGTTGGCTTGCTGTGGAAAGCCAACCTGTTCTAACGACATCTTGCTAAATTCTTCATAGGTCTGACCTTCCCCTCCTAAACTTAACATAAAGTTGGGGCTTGAGAGGCTCAGGGAGTGCGAGTGCACAATTGTTAAGGACTTGCTCGGGGGTTGCTCCATGGTGTTGTACCTGGAGCAAATTGTCCACGTACGCCTTCAAGGCACTAACGCTTTCCCAGTTTCCTCGCTCAGCATTGAGGATCTTAATCTGCGTCTTCCGGACCCTACTCTTGTCTTCGAACCTATCAAACATGGCATTAAAAAAAACGTTCGTCATATGCGAATAGCAGACCAAACACATCCACATCTGGCAGCTTCAGCCAGCGAAATGGCATAGTTTGCTGCATCTCCCCCCAAGCACGAGTAAGCCATCAGTACTTCTTTCTCGTATGGGATCTTTTGGGCCCACAAGTACATTATGACTGCTCCCCCTCACTGTCTGTAGTTCTCCTCCTTTCAGTTATATGTCCACAACAACTTCATTTTGATCTTGTCCCTTTCTCTTCTCCTCCTTTTTCTCCCTTTCTCCCCTTACCACTTTCTCCTTCTCCATCATCATCACAACCACCTCCATCTCCTCCGTCGGGATCCTTCTTCAATGGCCTCTTCCCCGATTCCTCGGTTTGAAAGTACTCAACGGTCTTATGCACTAGATCGCAGGTGTGGCTCGCTAAGCTATTCCATTTCTCAGTCATTTCATTATGACGCTTGAGGGTCTCCTCCAGCATCAGTCTTTGGGCAGCCATCTTGTCTGAAGAGTAAGGAGCTAGACGGGAGGGTGGTTTTAGGGTCAATCTCCTCCGTCATCCTCCCCTTCAGCTCCTCTAACAAAGCTGCTCCCTGCTACAACATCTTCTCCTTCTACTCCACTTGCTTTTTCCTCTCCACCATCACATGTCATACCTCTTCAAACTGCTCCTTCTCTTCTGCAATTTTAGTCTTTTATTCTGCATCGACGACTATGGCTGCCTGCACAACCTTTCCCTTGGCCTCCACACCTTGAGATGGTGGGGCCCCCGTCGACATTCCAAGGGCAGGCCGTCTCATCTTCTCCTCCAAGTTTTTATGTTCCTCCAACTCTCTTTGCTTCTTGGCCCTCTCCTCTTTCTTTCTCCGTTTTTCCTCCTCCTCTTTTTTCTCTGCCTTGAATGTTGGGTCCCCCAGCCTCACGACTTCTTTCCAGATTTCAGTGGCATGTGCATCCGATGCACACAGAAGAAACCCTAGCGGGGAAATTAAGC